GAAGTGTTATTTACAGACTTGAGTCAATACAGTTTCTTAACAGTATAGCATATTGAAATAGCCTATTTCATTTTCCTGAAAAAGTAACAAATTGTATCAAAGATTGTTATTATCAAACATATTTTGTCTTGCGTTCAGTATTACTATTTTGCTTGGTAATTCCATGGTTCAAAGACAATATATATATATATATATATATATTTTAATGAAAGCCTTGTTTCCTTTTTTCTACCAGGAATAAATCTCATCCTATTGTGAATACTGTTTTCAAGATCATAATCTGGGAGGCCTCTGTTTGAAGTAGGACTAGTTCAAAAGCAGTAGTGTGAATCAGGCCGTAACACAGCTTGCTCTACAAGAACTCTCATTCTCTGGGTGATTTTAAGTGCTCATAAATGAGGAATTAGTAGCCAAGAGCTGCAAGCCCTTCCATTTCACTGAGTGAACATTACAGTGGCTGTTGGACGACATGGCAATGTTGGCAGGAGCAGTGCTCGAGTGTACCTTTCCCAGTGCTCAGTGCTTGGATGGCTCTTGACCGTTCACAGAGCTCCATGCGGTCCCATAATCAGAAACAGATGACCTAAATGAAAAGGATGATTAGAGCAATGTTAGTGGTTCAACTGCTAATGGCAAATTTCTGGCTGTATTTTGATGTTCAGTAGGATATTTTTTTTCCTTTGTTTGCATAAGGAAAACAAATTTTTAAAGAGGTGGTACGCAAGTGTTTATACAGGGTGATAAGCAGTGTGTTATTTTGAAAGATGTCAGTTCTTTATTATAACAATTTTTCTGGAAAATACTTAAGAAAAAGATTTTTAAAGGCCTTTAAGAGTTTTTCTGTGTGTTTTTTTTTTGTGTGGTTATGTAGGGATCTATGTACATGGGTCTGCACTTGTATATGATTGTAGGAAAGTTCTAAAACCAATGCAACTGTACTGTAGCACAATTTCATTCATGTCTCCAGAAAACAGAATTTTAATTAATATATTTTTTTAAAGTTCCTTGTTTAGTATTTTTCTGGCCTTGAGGAAGGGAGCCCTTTGGGAAGTAAATGTGATGTTTGAATAGATGTTTCTCCATTTCTATGTACAAGAAAGACAAAAAAAAACAAAAAACAGAAAATACCTGTTTATGCAAAGTATCTGTTGATATATTTACTTCAAATTAACAGTGACACATCCTTTTAATAATAACTCTTGTTGATTGTTTTAATGGCATTAGCTTCAGAAAGCAGCGTTATTTGTGAAAGTTTCTGTAATCTTAGAAAGCACTGCAGAAATGTAAGTAGCCAAGCCTAGATTCAGCATCTAGTCAAACTGGTTTCAAATGATGTATATTTCTAGAGGCATGTCTCTTCTCATTTTCTGTCTTCGCCCTTGTACACACTTCATGAATATACAGATATATCTGGAAATGTCTTTGTTTTGCTATTCATCAGCTCAACATTTCCATACTCATCTTTTCTTAGCCTGCAGTTCTGCTGACTGCCTTAAAAAAACTTTTTACTTCCAACAATTCTGTCTGCCAGAGGTCTCTCTTAATCATTTCTACTGTCTGTCATTCTCTGCCTTTCTGTAATCCTCAGCTTTATTCACCCACAACATTCCAATGAAATCATTCATCTTTAAGGATTTAGTGACCTCCTCCTGGTCAGAAAGAGTAGCTGCCACTCTGACCTTATGCTATGAGGTATTTCTCAGTGTGTCTGTATTACCTCTCCAGTCTGTATCAAGAATGCGCGTTTAAAGTGAATCTCTCCTTAAATCCTTGCTCACTTCATTTTGGCTCACTACATGGAGCGGTCTAGAAGCAGTCCCAACAGGTAATGGGTGTCCAGTCCACAGGACCACAGTAGGACTAAGCTGCAGTTAAAAAAAAAACATTGGAAGTGTACAGTACAGAGCTCAAGTCTTCATAGCCAGCTTATGGTCTACAGATGCATTTCTGCTGCTGTGCACTAATCCAAAGGCAAGTGTGGCCTCTGCTGCTTTGACATCTGTTGCTCCTTGTCCCACTTTTTAAGTCTCACTTACCATCACTTTCTACATTTGGAGTCTGGTTCACCACTAGCTTGAGCCCAGGTTCACTCAGGTTTGTCTTTCATCCAGCCTTGCACACACCCAAGATTTTTTGCTGTGTTCTCTTGTGGTCCTAAACTGTGCCAGCACTGATCCTGTCTCCACTTTGACTGTCACAACTTCTGCTGTGTTACTGCTGGGATACTTTCCTTGTGAACCATGTATCAGTTGATGGTCTTTCCCATTCTGTCTAGAGGTTGAATGCCATTTCTTCCCTTTGAAGCACCTGCCCAGATACCGTCCTATTAACCCAATGTTTTTGTAAGCCTCTTTCCACTGAGAACTCCAATCTGTCCATTTCATCAACTGCTGTCTCTGTTCACACATCACATATTAAGTGTATAGTAGTGTCACAGCTGAAGTGCACCAGGATCTCTGTTTCAGAAAATTAGTAATCCAACTATATCAAAGAGCTTCCTAATTCAGTGAATGTACTCTATATTGTTTCACACGTACTGGAAGTGTGGTGCATTTTTGCTTAGTACTTGTTCCTTTAAGTTTGTCTGCGCTGAAAAAATGCCATCTTCTCGCAGTGTGTTTTTTGTATGTACTAAACGATAGCAGACTTTCCAGTGCACAGTTGTTTTGTTTTTGTTGTTGTTGTTTTGTCATGTTGGCTTTTCTAAGTGTCCTTGTCTGTGGTGAGTGTGCAACTATATCAAGGAAAGTCCATACACTTGTGCATGTGTACATGTTCATGGTATTTCTAGCAACTTACTAGTAATGCCGTTTCAGAAGTTTGATCTTAGCTTGAGAACAAGCAAGTTTCAATATTATGTGGTGTTATTTAGACGTATTGTAACATAATGTTGTTAGGGCAAAAACCTCCTTCTGTTGCCATTAGATTTGCAAACAGATGCTCCTGTGTTCAAGCTTGTATTGTTCAGGAAGCTGGTAAAAGCTCAGCTGAGATTTGGGAGGAATCCTTTTCCTTTCTGAGCTACAGGGGAGCTGCATTTGTTAGCTGCATTTCTATTTGTCTGTTGTACAAGTAGAGCTCTGTATTACCCAGCCTGGCAGCACCAAATACCAACTTTTTTCCAGGTGACTCATTTCTGGGTACAAACTCTGTTTCTGCTGTTTAATTTCAGTCTTCTCTATTTGTTAATTCTAAGGCAGGGCTCTTTCTCTGATAAGCATTACTGTGTTATATGACTGTAGGAAATCCGTGCTTGTCATGCTGTGAGATGCAAAGTATGACTGTATCAAAGCATACCACGTGAAAATTTTTGAAACATGACCTTTGTAACCAATTCAGGCAATGAATTGCGTGGAACATATGCCTGCAGAACAGAACGTATACTTGGGGATCTGAGGAGGAGCTCTTAAATTATCTAATTATATTTTTTTTAATCTCTTTTCTTATTCTGGATGTATGTTCACATATTTAAATGCAAAATTCACTTACTCCACCCTAGTGAAGATGCATGCACACGTACATGCAAGGTGTGTTTTTCATTACCTCACTAAACTACTTAAACAAAACAGATGTGTTTGTTTTTTTTTCCCCTTTGGTTTTGCTAATTGCACAGGAAGAATGCTCAGAAAATAATTAACAGTAATCAAATAGAGGAAAAACAAGAGGGGTCACCTGTTGCCATATATGTTTTAGCTGTCTGTTGAAGATGTTTCAAGCTCCACCCCCCCCCCCCCCAATATCTATTCCACCTCCCATTTTTACCTCACAAGAATGTATATATGTTTGTGCAGAGAAGGTATTGAGGAAACGTTAAACTATTTGTTCAAACTAGTTTTGTAGCAGTGTAAAAGAATTTTGAAAGACAATGCCAACTTTTAAAAGAAAAAAAAAAAGGCAGAGCAAAAATGCCAGACTTAAATTTTGGGGCGTATTTAACTAATATGCATTAGCATTAGGATTCCTAATTCTTAATGGAAAAAAAAAAGTCATTAATAAAACAGATGTAAATACTTTTGCTGAACTTTAGTGAAAAAATAGCTTCCTGGAGTGTTTTAATGCTTAGTTAATGCAGTTCTAAAGAAAAAGTATTAAAAAGAAGTTATTGAACAATGACATATTAATCACCATATTGTTTTTGTTAACAGTTGTTTTCTCTTGGCTGTGCTGGCGATGGTGCTTGACTATTGGAGGATGTGATAGTAGAGGAATTTTACAGGATTCTCTAAGCAAACCTTATTGTGAGGGGCTATACAGGAGAGATAGGTGTGTTGTGAGGGAAGACCATGTGAATATTGTCATGAGTTGGTCTTCCTTGAATTCTTTTCTGAGTGGAAATTTTGATATGTAACATTTCAGGTATGTTCATTCTGTTCTTAGGACTTTGTGTCACGAGCTACAGATTTATTTATTTATTTATTTTCCCCTTTATGACATCTGGATTTAGTTATTGGACACTGCCTCACCAGTACAAAGGAGGAAGAATAGGATTTAGAATAATGCAAGCGTACTGGTGTAGGAAAATAAAACATGTACAAGTTACTGTTTTTAGTACACAGTCTGTTGAGTATATACATTTTTGTAAATCTGATAATTCTTTGCTGCTGTCTTTGAAGGTTTTAGGATTTTGATTTACATTACAAAAGTTTAATACACAGAAAAAAAATAGTTCTACAAAGCGGCCCAACAGAGTTGCAGTAGAAACATGGAAGAATTAGGAAGACAGAAGCTTTTTCACTCTAGCTAAAAGTTGAACAAATTGGGTAAACCTATAAATTTTGTTGAAAAATATGTGTTGACATAGGTTGACCAGTATTTTTTATTGTTTTGCTCTGTATTAGTCCTATTGGTGCACACTTGCCTTCTTTTGTTCTTGGTGGCATTCCCTCCCAGCACTTTCGAACTTTGTGTTATATAATTATACCACCTGTAGTAAACAAGTGACTTGAAGTTATTCATATGAATCTTAAAATATTTTTTTCCCTCTTCTCCCATAAAAACAGATAATATACCTGAGAGAATCACCAGAAGATGTGTACAGGCTTGTATTGGCTGGAAGCGTTTCGTATCTTCCTTTCAGGTAAATAATAAGATGTTGGAACTTTTTTTTTCCTTTTTTCCCCTAAGGTTTTAATATGTGGAAGGTCATGTTCACTGCCTGATCTTTAAAGTGCAGGCTGCTGAACTGGTAGTTCTGAAGTGTAATGATATAGAAGGTAAAGGAGCCACAGTGCTTGTTTAGCTTTTTGATCTATATTGCTTCCTACTTGGCAGTGTTTTAGTGCTAGTAGTTGATTGTTAAACATCTTAAGTGTGTCTTTTTACCAATGAGGAAATGTATAAAAATACTGGTTTGGTGTTGCTTGACCCTGAGGGAATGTAATCCTAGCTTTTTCAGACCACAAACTTCTCATTGTGGTATGTGCTATGTTGCTGAGAGTAGCAAATAAAGTCGATCCATAACATGGAGGGACAACTGCATTAGTTCTTCCAAAACAGAGTGTTAAAAAAGTTGGACCAAACTAGCATTCTATTGTCTGTCTCAATATGCAGAAAATGGACAAAAAAAAATTAGAAGGCAAGTTTAGTGTCCAAGTATATTGTTAAGGGATGATTAGTTCAGTACTTTCTTTTTTGTCTGTTTTAGCACTCTTGCCAAGAGCTGTGTTTTTCAAGATTTGAATTTCCTTTACTTACCTCTCCCACTACCCCAGCTGCCACAGTACAAATGTATAGTGGAACCTCTATTTAATAATTTACATACCTCCATCATCCCATTTCTCTTTTTAATTCAATTTTTTATATTTGCAGGACAAAATAAGTCCTCAAGGAGATCCAGAAGATTTGTGTTTCTTAAAATCCTAAAGATGTATGTGGATATCTGAGATAGTAGCTTTTCATTCAGGTCATACGGTCTTCCCAAATCCCCAGATCATCACTTTGATAGCACTACTGAATAAAAATGCAAAGATGTGTTATGCAATTAAAATTATTAAGAGTTGACTTATGAAGCCCCCAGGATAAAGCAGACAGTATGCTGAAGTGTCTGGGAATTTTACCATTTTCTTGAATTTACTAGTACAATTAAACCAAATGTAGGAATTTGGATTTCATGAATGATCAACTGAGAAGTTGCTCTGGGCTCTGTTCACATCAGATCATCTTCATCTCTGCAAAAAAAACCCAGTATCTTGCCATAGAATAATAAAAAAGACATGTAATTGCTACTTCTGTCACAATCAATAGGAAAGCTTGTTAGCAGCTGGCAAAGAATGTTTTTCATTTACCTGGATGGGGTTCTGTTATTTCCTTCACCTGCTGACTTTTTTTTTCCACCTTCACAGTGATTGGTTAGGGAGAAAAAGGTATAGATGAAGTGGAGAGGCAGCCATTCAGGTTCTTCAGAAGTTCTTCCTTCTCTCAGCTTAAATGGAATATTACTTACTTTTAATGTAATATTAATGATTCTTTCTTGATAAGAGCTGCATGGTTACAGAAGTAGGTGTTCTGCCAGGACATATATTATCTGATATAGATTCACATTAAATTTATTTTTAAGTGACTGTAGTATTCCTGTAGAATACTTATTATGCAGTGCTTATTCAGTAACGGCCATGTACCAAGAACATGCTATTCTTGTATCAAGAAGGTTTAAAAAGCAGTAGTTGAAAGAAAGGGCTTTGTTGAAAACCATTTTCTCAAGTTTAAGCACAAACTATTTTATGCCTCTTAACAAAAAGTCTTTTCATGCATCTATACAAATGTGTATCTCGACAGACATACTAAGAAGATGCTCTTTACATATATATAAAATAATGCATGTGTGCAGCATCTTTTTTCTTTTAAACAGAATTTGAAGAAAAAAATTACACTGTATTACAACTTGACTTTTTTGCAAATGAACTTCTGAAGAAAACGTTAAGAGTGTATATTTTAAATATTTAAACATTAGCTTTTGCCATAAGGAGTTCTTCCTGTTTTTCAGATATGTGTGTTCTTTGACATTTGAATTGAACATATCACTTTTTCTGAGAAGTATAGCTGGAATAATCTTAGTTTTTAATCTGTTATCATAATGCATTTTATATCTTATTGTTATAAGGTATAAGGCAGGGAAAGTGAAATAATTATCTGACAATTGTGTTTGTTATAATAGAGACTATATTGAAGCTATCTTTTAAAGTTGTTTTAGAGAACTGTCTTTTAATTGCGTTCACTTGGATTAAAATGGGAAAATTTAACAGTTTTGGACATCCTACGTTACAGGGATGCTTCATTTGGTACTTGCAGTTTTCATCTAACGTTGCTGGACTGTTTTCATGCAATAAGCAAGGTAAGTAGAACATTTTCTTATTGTAAAAGGTCAGTTAAATATTTCTCTGCCAGAAGAGAAGACTCAGGAAGTTAGGAGCCAAATAGAGCTGTACAGTGGCAGATTTTCTGATTGTTGTCTACCTTATTATGTATTATGCATTGTAACAAAATTTCTAGATAAAGCATCTGTAGAAGTGAACTGATATCATATCTAATCAAATAGCAAAGTTTTTAAAGAGGAAATTTCGAGTTTTATATAGGTAATCTTCTCAGGACAGTCATTTGCAGCTCTAATCCGTAAGAGTTGTGTGACAGGTTTATCAAATGGCCCTCTGATACTACATTTTAGGCTGGATATTTCCTTTGGAGGAGGTTTTGAATCGCTTATCGATAATTTTTTTTGTTGGGGGGGAGGGGGAGGTCAGGACACTTTCAGTATGTACTAATGACTTGTAGTTTTGCTTCAGTAACATAAATACAACAAATGTTAAAAGGTGTGTGGTTTGCTTTTTAACCACAAATTATCATAATAGAATGTCTTATTGTGGTACAGTGGTTACATAATGTGGCATTTCAGGACAGGGAAAATTTGTTTACATTCTTTTTTGTCTGTATGAATAAGGAAATGTGAAATGGGGAATTCTGCAGGTCTCCATCCCATCACTTTTTTTTGAGGGAGGGTTGGAGGGGGTCATCTCTACCAAATACTGTTGTTTCTATTGAATAAACTTGCAGATTTTCATTTTTTTGTTTGTTTTTTTGCATGTTTTGACTTTGGCTGCTTTGTCGGTAGTGATGAATTGCTATTCTTTCCAGTACTGGCAAGCAGCAAATAAAACCACAGAGGGCTATACAGTGAAAGAGGAGATTAGAATGTAATATTTAAAATATCTGGGGATTTGAGATTGTCTGTGTTTGCTCTTTCTGACTTTACAAGTGGGTAAACTGCCAGTTACACAAATGTGTACGTTTTTATACTATATTAAATATAATGGCTGTGGATAATTATGGGGCATCAGGGACCACACTAATGTCTGCTAAGGACTGTGAACATAGTCTGTCTGTAGCCAATTTTAAATTAGTGAAGATATTAGAATTCTAATGAGGTAGAATATAATTCATGCACCAAATATTTATAATGCTTGAATGCAAACTTTAGAATGTACCCATATTTTAAATAGGTATTTTTTGCCAGTTATTTTTCACTGGCATTTTGTACTGATAGCAGTAATAAAAAGACAATACTTATTTAGTATGGAATTTTGTAGTGATTCAGTGCAAACAGAAAGACCTTTTTGTCTAACTTCACTTACATTAAAATTTACAAATTTGTTTTGCACTAAGAGTCAGTTGTTCTGTATGTTTTCAAACAAATGAAGAGATCTTGTAAAGCGTAGAACAGATATTAAGGGGTGTTTGGTACACTAACACAGTGATAAACTGCCCTCATTGGTAAGATGTTGTCATGTTAAAAGTTACATTCTGAATTTTAGGCTTTGCAGTGTGATTTTCTGAATTTCGATGTGTTTGATGTAAATGAATATGAGCATTATGAGGTAAGTATTCAGTATCAGTCTTCTGATTCGTTTGCTGTTATTAATGCTAAGATAATTGTTTATAATATAATGTGCTATTTATTTTGTAGTATTAAGTTTCATTTTTGTTTTACCTCTTTAAACTATGATCGTTAAATAACGGTGCATGGTCAGAGAGAGCGTATTAAGTCAGATTTAAGCATAGTCAGCCACACACATGGGGTAAAAGCAGAAACCAGAATTGAAATAAAAACTTTTTTTTTTTTCACATTTTTATTAAAGCCCTGAAAAATGATGGGGAAGTGGGAATTTGTTCCTTGGCCGTTTCTTAGAGGTCTTGCATATTCTTGAGCAATCATGATGAGAAACTTGAGGGCATACAAGTCCAAGTCTATCTGACTTCCAGAAAGGAGATAAAGTATGTATATATGAGCTCATGGCAAAGGTATAGCAGCACTTTTTGAGGAGAAGAAGATAGGACTTGGAAACTCCAAGACTACAAAATTCACTCGGGGACATGGGAAACTAATATGAATTAAAAAGAGTACAATGTTTGACTACGTGCACTGTTAGAAATACAAAATTACTAGTTATCTGTAAAGAGAAAATCGGGTGTTTTTAGAATCTAAAAAATCATGATCTAAATAGTGAAGAGAAATAAGGTGAGGTCATAATTTAGTAATCTATAAACATTTTAAACTTGGAAGTTGCCTTTCATCTGAAGGACACCAACTGCATTGTTCTAAAGCTGTAATTTAGAAAAAGGAGAACACAAGAGGAGTGAGGTTCCGAACAAGTGACATCCTCTTGATGAAATAAAAAGCAGGCAACTAACATGCTTCCTTTGGCAAAAATTGTACATCATTTCTATCTAGCATGTATTTTGAAACAATAAGGAAAAGGCTGAAAATACAGGGATAATGATAAACCAAGCATTTTCTCTTGACAGAGAGCAGAAAATGGAGATTTTAACTGGATAATACCAAACAAATTCATTGCCTTCAGTGGACCTCATTCAAGAAGTAAAATTGAAAATGGTATGCTTAAAAAAGGAGGTGGGGGACACAAGCCCACTGCTTTCTTAGCTGGTTGTTATCAGTAAGAACAAGCTTTAAAAATTGTTCCTGAAACAGTGTGTTTTTTCCTTGGATCTTTTTCTTTTATAAGAACCCTGACAGTAAAATTTTAATGCTTGGTTTAATTGTATCTGATCTAGGTGATTATGTTAAAATTCCATTTTCAGTTAGTCTATTTCTTTCTGTTGAATATGAGTTTTATTTTGAAAGTGTTTTCATCTGTTGCTTTTGAGTCTTCATTTACATATTTTCTGCTTGAGCCTTATTTTCCTTTATATTTCCTTCCTTTTTTTTTTCTAACAGGCTATCCCCACCATGCTCCAGAAGCTTATTTCCCATACTTCAGGAAACACAAGGTCACCACTATAATACGCCTCAACAAAAAAATGTATGATGCTAAACGTTTCACAGATGCTGGATTTGAGCATTTTGACCTATTCTTTGCTGATGGAAGCACACCTAGTGATACTATAGTTAAAACATTTCTAAATATTTGTGAAAATGCTGAAGGTGTCATAGCTGTTCACTGCAAAGGTATAGTGTGCAAACAATTTATATTATAAACAATGCTTATATATTATGCAGTTTCTGGGATATTTCCCACTATAACTCTGTTATATCTAGTTACTGGCAACATTGCCAAGCAGAAGATTTTCTGTACAAATTCTGTCTGTGCTTTATTCTGCTTTTTGTCTTCTAATTTTTTAAATTCCAGGAAAATCTTTCCAGCTGATTCCAAGAACGAGGCTGGGGAAAGTGAGCTTGCCAATATTAACAGCTCTTTCTGCTAGGAAGTGCTAGGACTTTCAAAAGATTCTTCTGAGCAGGAATTTCAATTATGGCAAGGTTTATAGGTCTTTCTGACAATATGTGGTATAAATACATTGTAAATGTTTGAAAATACCAGTATACTAGCTATACTAGCTGCACTGTTCTTTGGACCAGGCATTCAGAGCATGCCCAATGCAGCTAGTGTAGAGTGTTTCTGAGAGATAGTGATTTCTGTGGTTCTAGAGGAACTATGTTTGCCTTTCCACACCTGATAATAGTGTGATTGAAGGAGAAAGGTGAATTCTTAAAGCATTTGCCTGGGACCTGCAAAGACTGAATTTTTGTTACTGGATCTGCCATTCACTTGCAGCATGTTTAATAGTTTTAATAGATAATACTGTGAAGTACAGTTGGTGAAACAGCTTTTTGACTGTTGCACATAAGTGCATATTTTTACTCTCCACCAAGGTGTGAAATCTGTGTATACCACTTAATTGATTACGCAGCAGTGGTACAATTGCTTTGTTTTCATTCAGATTAAGATGTTCAAGATGTCCTCTGATATTTGTCATGATAATAATGTCTAGACTACCTTACAGTCTTCAGCCTCCTATTAGTCTTGAGAAAGAGTAGAATGATGTAGCCTGTTCTTAAAGCTGGGCAAGGTAAAGGAAATGCTGTGCAGTTGTCTTGGCTGTTCAGCTATACTGAAGTTTCTACATGTGTGTTCCGTGGATTCTTAAATGAGGGGATTTGATGCATGGTTTGACATTTACAGCAAGTGGTCGAGTGGGGGAGCCACTGAGCTATCTTCCTTCTCATGTTTGTCAAGGTAAATAGAACTGTTTCTAGGGCCGTGTCAAAAGTTTTCTTATTCTGGATTATTCCAGCCTGTGTTGGCTAGTGCTCAGACTTGCTTATTGCAAAATGTAGGTTTTCCTTGTGAACCAAAAAAAAGAGTTTAGTTAAAGGAAGGATTGGAAGAACAGCTGGCTTTAGTGCAAGTCACGATGAATTTGTAATTAAAATGCTTTGAGAATTCTGTGAAAAGATAAAAACATCTACATGCCTATTTAGTGTATTGCCTGTATATTTTTATGTATATCTCTATGTGTGTATGTGTGTCTGTGTGTGTAAATATACCTGTAAGGTCACTAGCTTTGGAAGGTTATCTTACTAAAAATACGTGAGCAATGTGTTAGTAACCATGTCTATGGGAAAAAAAGAATTGAAAAGGTAAGTTTTACTTACTGAGTTTTATTAGTAAGAGGTTGGTCTAATAAAACAGGCAGTTAATTATTTGTCTGAGTAACAATGTCTGTAGCTACAGCAGATTCCAAATGAAAATAAGTATATAAAATAAACCATTCTTTTATCTTACACAGCTGGTCTTGGACGAACTGGCACACTTATTGCCTGTTATATTATGAAGCACTATCGGATGACAGCTGCTGAAACTATTGCCTGGATCAGAATAAATAGACCTGGTTCAGTGATTGGACCACAACAACACTTCCTGATGGAGTAAGTAGATTAAGTTGATTTAAAAATTGAGTTAGATACCTTTTTTTTTTTTTTTTTTTTTTTTTTGGTACCCTTAAAATCTTTGTTGTTAATTTGTTGGTTTTGGGGATTATTTTTCTATACTATGATAGGAAACAGGCAGAACTTTGGACAGAAGGGGATATCTTCCGTGCAAAGTTGAGAGGAAACCGTAAAATTGCTGTAACAAGAATCCTGTCGGGGGTAGATGATATTTCAATTAATGATACTAGAAACAGAAGAATGATCCGAAAGGACATTGAACTGGTAAGCATCTGAATATTGTGCTTTTGTAAAAGTTGTAAATGCTTTTGAGGATCTCTTAGTATCTGAACAAACCTGTGGGTACAGTAAAACTTTGTTATTGGATTCTTCTTCTGTTTTCCCTTTTTGTACCAAGAGATTTGCAAGTGAAAAAAGATACGGATAGTGGTTACAGAAAATGAAGGTCAGTACACAGGTGAGGTAGGAGTATCCTTGTCCTACTGTCATCTTGTGATTAAGTAAATATTAGAACAAAAAAAAATACAACTTGCTGTCAGAAATTCTGTAATTGTATTTTGGATTGTTATATTGCTTTTTCAGTATTTTACAGGAAGGGGTGAAAGGTGTTTTGCTTTTTTGATTTCTAAGTAATTACAATTTCTGTAATACTTCTTGCAGCGTCTCTTAAAAAAAAAAAAAAGTATTACTGTGAAAATGGCAGATGAAGGAGGGAAATGCTGTACTTGAGTGATGATTGTATTGTACCAAAACAGAGATTTGAGATGTGTTTCTACTGTTTTAAAAGTAGACAACATTCTGATGCACGTAATTCACTGGAATGAAAAACTTTGGCAAACTTTCTTGTTGGGATAATTCTAAGTTCAAGATTTAAAGTAAGGTTAATAGTTAATTTTCTAAATGACTATATTTACCTCTTTTTTTTTTCCCTACACTTCACTAGTATAGTGATGAAGATGAAACAAATTGTATAACACAAGGTGATAAGCTTCGTGCTCTGAAAAGTAGAAGGCAAGCAAAAGCAACAGCTGCATCTCCGCTAACGTAAGTCCGTTCCTGAATGCATAAATACCAGAAATATTTCTATCTTCTTCTTCATACACACTTGCTGTAGCACCCAAAAGTTTGTTGGCAAGGCTGTTTTTGCTCATTTGAAACAAGCATGAGATGCACCTTTCTTCTGGTAGCTCGGTGAGCATTAAGGAGGCAGGAGAACTTGTCTGAAGAACTGCATTACTCAATTTCTTATTGTCTGTCTTGATTTTTGATTCCAATGCTCAGTGCTCTGCAAGTTCCTGTGGTTATTTCTGAATGATGTATTCCTAGTTCATTCACAAGCATTCCCTTGTCCTTCCTGTGGTAGTATAAAAATGGAGGAATACAACTCCAATTGGTGGTGTTTGATTGGCTGAAATAAGGTATATTTTCATTTTTGAAGTAAGGTCAACTACTTAAAAAGAATAGCTGGAAGAAGAATCTAGCTTTATTTCATTTTCAGGTCTTCAGAGAACTTTCCCTAAATCTTGTGGGCTTTGGGATAATGGCTGGTACTCTGGAAGGCAGGGAGTAGCAGCGTTTCACTGAATAAATACAAAGGGTTGTGGTTCTATTTGACAATCTGGTGTATTAGTCTCTTTGTTTTAGACAAACACCACCTGTAAGAGGGAATTTTTAGTCAACAGTTGTTTGCATCTGTTGCAAATTGTACCAACTATAGGTAAAAGCTTTCTGGTTACCCTTACATAAACTACGGAGAATGCAAGACTTGCAAGACATATCTGAGACCTCATTTGATGCCTAGGAAAGGAATGGTGACCCGTGGCTATCAGATTTTTTTGCAAATAACACACCAAAAGAGTCATAGAACAAAAGCAACTAGGCTTCTATTTTGCAGCCTTTCTGTAGGGATGCTGCTGCAAAACTTCTAGCTCACTATGGTCTTAAAAAAAAAAAAAAAAAAAAAAAAAGACCAAAAATTGTCAGAATTTTAGATAAGCAAGGGGTATATTGTAAGAATATGCTGAAGGGAAAGGAATGCCTTTAGAAACCCTCACTTACTGCTGTGTAAGAATTCAGTTTTGTTTAAAAAGAATCTTTTCCTTTCATCAGTTACAAAGGCAATCATACAATAAACAACATATAAAGAACAAAGACTGTACCCAACTGAAATTAAAACCAAAAGCAAACAAACAACAAAAAATACAAAACACACAAAAAAACCAACACAGGACCTCAGTGTACTCAAGTAGTACATTAAAAACCATCTACTTTGCACATCAGTTTCTAAGGCACATAGTGCCTTCATTTCTACTTCATAATACTCTTTCGTAAGTAGTAATTTAAGTCATGTAATAAAGTTTGTGAGATATCTCATTCACTGTATGTTCTACAGAATGAATGTTGATTGTATGATAGTCTAATCAGAGGCACAGTATTAATATGCATAAAGACTATCAACTATTAAAAAAACTATTCCATCCACAAAGCATTCTGTAACAGGACTCCCTTAATTAAAACTAGCTAGTTTGTAGTCCTGGAGAATTAAAATAAATGATGAAGAGCTTCTGGTAGTTTCGCATAGTGTGCCCTGTGGCACTGGGAGGTGTGATGCTAACAAGGAGTTGCAATTTCCTTCCTCCTGTTTCCATCAGTTATTGTAGGGTTTGCAGCTTGTACTGAAGTAATTTGGTGACAAATCTAGAAACTTTTACATTCTGTGAGTTAATGTTACTAAACCAAAATATCACTAGGCATATTTAGCATCCCTACCTGGGTTAGAAGTCTTCCGTACCTGAATAGCTGTCAGTCTTTTTTCCATTATAGTTCAGAATAAAAAAAAAAACAAAACACTAATTCTGCTATGAAATAGATGAACTTTATCTAAGCAAACAAAATAGAATTAAGTTCTCTATGCAGTTTTATTTCAGAGAGAAATAGGGGAAAAAAAATCAAACACAAGCAAAGTAAAAGCACTAGAAGTTGGGAGAATTATTAGTCTTTTTGTGCTAGAGGCGTGACTTAAACAAGTCCCAAGGGGTTTGTGTATAATGTTTTGTTAATGTTTGTTGAAGTTGGTTGTATAAGCTGTTTATGCCTTGGTGAATGGATGCTTTGTATATGTTCTGATGAGCAATATGCTGCACCTTTGGCAAAGGGATTATGAATTAGCTTTTGCTCTTTCGAACACAGGAAGACAATATATCCTCACCATCTGGGTGCTTACATAAATTGTTTGTTACAAGAAACTGATCTGGCTCTGATCTAGGGTTTCTGTATTAAAACACAAGATTGTGAGGTAGGGTCTATCAGTACAGGCTGATCAAGCTGCGTAGAAGTTAGCAACAAGTGGTCAGAGATACAGTGGTCTAGAAGGCATTTATTTTCAAAAGAGTGATGTGGACTTTCTTTGGAACAAATAAATGACTTCAGTGAGGATTTCAGAAATACTGCTTTGCTTCTGGTAACACATGGATACACCTGACAAGTCACGGTTGCATGGATTGTGATAGTCACAGAAAGAAAGAAAATGCTTGGCTTAAGATTATAGAGCAATATGCTTTTGAAGAACTTGAAACAAGCTAAAATGCACTAATAGCTTTTGCTTTTGGATTTTTGTTCACCTTTTCCTCCCCCTCCAACCCCTTTTTTAGATGGCTTCTAGCTATGCTGGTGTCTACACTGTGTAGCATTGTCATCTGGTGGATTGTATGTGGCTCCCTTCTTCCCAGCCTGCTATTCTGTCTAGATGGTTTAAGAACATAGTAACCATCAGGACCCCCTGAGAGAGAGCCACTGTGTAAGTGTCCCATTCCATTTCTCTACAATAGCTCATGCTTTCTGTCTAGTATGTCTCATAAGTGCATGTTTTCATACCATGTTTCTTACTGGCTTTGTTGCAAGAGTAAATTTCACTGCTCTCGCTTTGTTGTATTTTTGTGTATATTATTTGGAATAACTGAGTGATTTTTATGGCTGGCTTGCAATACAAAAGGTGCAGAGCTTTTGTAATTAGGATGATTTATAATTTTGAAGCCTTTCTTCTCTGCATGCTTCTGCAAATAAGCAAAACTACGCTTATTAAAAAAAAAAAAAAAGAAAAGTGCTGTTTTAAAATATGATCCTCTCCTTTGCATATTGCAAGTGAAGATGTTAGCTTCAATTTTACTTTGAAATTCATGAACTTGCAAAGGTGCTTAATCTCCCAAAGGATGGTTTTACTCAAGTGAAATGCCAGGAGTTAGAATTTGTTAGAAATGGCAGTAGGTCTTTGTTTTTATGAAGGGATTATAGTATTAAGCCATAAGAGGCAGTAAAATGGGACACTTTTCCCCTTATAGCAGAAGATGTGACAGGTTGCAGTATTAGGACAATGCACATTTGTTTACCCAAGCAATCTGGTTTCATCTTCTTTCATTCTTAATTATTTTTATAGAGCTTTATGAGACTAGTTCGACACTTCTTTTCTGTTACTTAAATTCAGGAGCTGGATAAATCGTTAAAAACATGTTCCTTGAGTACAATTTTTACTTTTCTCCATCTTCTATCAGAGTGGCTGCAGTGGTTGTTGTGTCTAGCTTTCACTTAAAAGGTGCAATGTTTTTGCCAGATGGCAACTTTCATCTTTTGGCCAAATTAAAACTTCAACAGCATGAAGGACTACCAGGGAACCCAAACAGCTCCCTTCTGCTTGCTACCTTGTCTCCCTGAGGCTACTCTGCCATCACCACCCAGGAAGCAAAATGGTTACTTTGGGTGAATACTTGAAAATTCAGTGCTCTTAGAGGAAAAAATAGGTCAGGAAAAGTGTTTTATACCACAGTAGTGAATAAGAAAAGGAATTCTGTCCTGTCAAAACTTTATGGTTAGGAGATGCTGTCCTCCTCATCTTTGACCTCTGAGCCATACTTCTAAAAATGGCAAAGGTATAGAAATACTTCTGCGAAGGTAAATGACTTAATAACTAAGAATGAGAATTAGAGGGAGTTATGAACAATTTAGTTATCCCATTAGTGTAACCTGAGGTCATTTTAATCTTTTTTTTCCCCCATTGGTACCTAACTTTGTCCAATATTGTACTTAGACAAGAGTTGTTTCTGAAGTTTTATGCTGAATATGTGAATAACTCTTGTCTTAATGTTTTACAGAAGTCAAGCCTTAGATTTCTGAAGGCAGACAAAAAAAAAAAAAAAAAAAAAAAACAACCAAAACCTACTGTAAAAAAAAATGAAAGAATCCATCCTTTATTTTCCTGTACTGTATGGTCAGATTCACTCAGATGTCTTCTCTTTGTGTGTTCTTTCTAAAAACTCCTTTGCTAGAAGGGAAAAGATAGATTGATGTTGTTAAATGTGTCATTATGCAGGCAGTGGGGTTACTGGTGGTCCTGTGTCATATCCAGCATTGACAATTATACTGTGTTATGTTCAGGAAGAGAAAACACTTACTTTTATTTTAAAAGCTGGGATAATGTTCTCTCCATTATACAGCTAGTGTCCCTTCTGCTTTAAGAGATCGAATTATCAATCAGGGTAGTGATTCAGTCATCAGTCTTGGCTGGCCTGGCAGTCCTGTGTGCTGAAGCCCTGTAGAATGAAGAACATCAAGTCACTTGTTGATTATTGGTAACGTAGGAAAGTGTTAGATGTCTCAGGCCAGTCTTCCTAAAAACCCTAAAGACTCAGGCCAGTCCTCCTGAGAGAGAGGTGATGAGGGACAGAGCAGTATTGCATTTGGCTGTGTAGTGGTTTACCCAGGCAGGCAGCTCAGCACCACACAGCTGTGAGCTTGCTCACTCATCCCCAGCACGGCTGGGGAAGAGAATTGGAAAAGTAAAAGTGGAAGAACTTGCAGGTTGAGATGAAGACGGTGTATTAGGTAAGGCAAAAGCTGTGTGCCCAAGCAAAACAAGCAAAGCCAGACAAAGAATTCATTCGCTATTTCCCATGGCAGGTGGGTGTTCAGCTACTGCCAGCAAAGCAGGCAGGGCTCGTCATGCTTAGCTCTTACCTGGGAAGACAAACACCATCACTCCTAATGTCCCCTGCCTCCTCCCTTACCCCATGGCACCACATGATATGGGACATCCCTTTGGTCAGCCTGGGCCAGCTGTGCTGGCTGTGTCCCCTCCTGGCTCCTGGTGCACCCTCAGATTCCTCACTGGCAGGGCAGCACAAGGAGATTGTGCTCTTGGCTCTGCGCAAGCACTGCTCTGCATCAACTAAAACGCTGGTGAGTTACCAACATTATTTTTGTCATAAATCCAAAACACAGCACTGCACCAGCTACTATGAAGAAATTAACTCTGTCCAAACCAAAATCAGGACCTCAAAACAGGCAAGTGTAATTCCCCACACCTTCTGTGTAGCCTTGCTTCCCTGTAACCCTCTTTAGGATATTGCAATCAATTATGTTTTAAAAAACCTTTTTTACATGGATTGGTTTCTCCACGTTGTAGTGCCATGTTGGCATTTTGAGTTTTCTGTTTTTTTTTGTTTTGTTTGTTTTTTTATATCAGGCTTTGGGGTTGTTTTTTTGTGTCATAGGTCCATGTGCCCCCTGTCCCCTCCCCCAGTTGAAATGATTAAACAAACTTGTGAACATTTTACAAGAAGGTGCTGCCGACCCAGCACTTTTCCATTTAAGCAGGCTTTGATTTGTTTAAAGACTAATACATCAGCTTAAAAAGAAGTAGTATGCAAACTAGCATGGTGTTGGGGAATGTATTAGGTTCAGAATTACCGAGTGATGTTTTCATTACAGATTAAGTGGAAATGAAAGACTCTTAGCATACATGGTTTACTTATTTTAATAGTGTGGCTATTAAAGCATCTTGGAGCGTGTCTTCAGGGAATGCTCTGCTTTTTATTTTTTTAAATAATGTTTTATTAAATAGAAAATGTTTGTGTACATCAGATACACTTTCTTCTGGTACTTCTGTGAGTTAATTGCTGAGGTGTGCAACATGACATACTGTGTTATATGAACAGTTACAAAGCAGTCAGGTGGGTGCCCTGTGAATTTTACTCTTCTGTAATATAGTTTGGGATAACTTCTTTTTTTTGTGCTGTGATTTTGGGAGGATGTCTCCGACTGTGGCCACATTTCATGTTCTTTTTAAAATCTATTTATGAAACCTGCTCTCAAGTTAGGCTATTACTCTAATCATGTCCTAGATCAAAATTCCTTGTGTTAAAACTAGTCTTGCGTCTCAGCTCTCGTGTATGAGGTAGCACTTCAGTAAAAGCTGTGATGGCAGCGCTGCTGCTCCGAAGCTGACAGCTGGGTCTCAAGACGGCTGTGTGTTTAGTTGTAATACCATGTCAGTGGTGTAAATGGGAACTTGTCTGTTTTCCTTGAGGTGCTTGCTGTAAGCCTTAGAAGGCTGGAATTTCATCTGAGTTGAACGTGTCTGTCTGATCTTCCAGCAAATATTCTGCTAATCAGGAATTCAGCTAGTCTGTACTTCTGGGCTGGTTGTGTGATGTTTTGTATCAAAGTAAAATAACTACTAAAGAGTACATGATCTTAAAGGTTCTACTATGCTTAAAGCTGGCTCTGAGCTGATCCCATAAGCCAGCTCCTTCTCTCCCTACCCTTAGGTAAATATAGCAATTTTAAGAGGAGGATGTCATGGTTGGCTTGGTTTTGCAGTGAAATTGTATATGGTGCCTATTTTTATAATTCGCCTTCCTATTTAGAACCTTATTTAATTTCTTCATTTCGAACACACAAAATACAATTCTGTGGAAAGTAGTGACTTTTTTGTCCTATGACATGACAAAAAGATGAATATTTAAGTGTTTGTGCAAGATGGTATCTTAACACTTCATAGTGTTTTAGTTTATGCTAGTCAGTATATATGGCTTAAACCTCATCTTCTTTTCTGAACTTCTGGTGTCTGGAAAAAATGAACTGCAAGAGAAAGATAATTAAATCATCTTCCAATAAGTTTTGCTTTCTTTTATGTATACATTACATGCTTTTTATACAGAGAGACATTGTATATGTATGTTTAAGGAGAAAACAAAATTTTATGTATTCCTACCTGCATAAACACTCATACATGAGCATGTATCAAACTTCAGTCGTGTTTTATTTTAAAAGACTAAAAGTTAGAGGGGTAAGCAGGTTTTGTACCTTTTCATTTAGTCCTGGAAATTGCTAGTGGCACGGAGGGAAGGTTGGTCTGTTTTCAGCACTGGTGACATTTTCAAAGCTTAGTTCAAAGTGCAGTAGCCCAGATTTGTTCATGTTGTGTGACAACTGTGACACTGAAAAGATAATTTTGAGTTTTAGTGTTAGAACTTGTTTGATTTGCTTTATAAGAGCAGAAGAACTTAAAAAGTGGACGTTAAGGTTTTGAACCTTTTCACCTTGGACGTGCGAGGAAAACAGATTTTTGTTAGAAGAATTTGTGTTGTCTGCTGAAACATGATATGGCTTTGAAGGTATCTCTTCTATATTTTTAGCCTCTCAAATAACTGATTCCTCTGACTTTGTATACTGTTTGCAGTAGAATCTTCTCTGCATTTTAATAGTCCTTGCTGTTGCAATCTTGTATCTTGTCCGGGAGGAAGAAAAGACTGTTTAGTTTGGACTTTAGCAAAACAAGGTGCTTGGTTTTACAAATCTGAAATATTAAAAGATGTTTGTTCCAATGTAAATTGAACATGTATGAAATTTTTGGTTATGTAGTCACCCGTTTCCCAAACAATACAGAAGTAAGTGGTAAATACTGTTGCTGATCAGTTTTACTGCTGTAAAATCCAGAAACATAGTTCAGAATTGATTTTAGAT